TGACATTCTGTGATTCTGTGATTCTGTGAAGCCCATGTATGGCCATTACTGTAGCTTGTATCAGAGAGCAAAGCTTTGGTCAAGGTGCTGCTTGGTCTTTTAATGGAAGGGGAATTTTGTCAGCAACATTCTTTTTGGAGAATGAGCCTCCTTTGGGCCATTCACCTTGACACAGATTTAAATAAATAAAATAGTAATAAAAATTAGCCATTATATGGGACCCTCATGGTTGTCCGTGACAGTGGGCAAGGGCAGGCTGCTCTTTGTTCTGGAGTTTGTGTTGGGGATGTTCTCCTGAACATTCAGGGCTGGAGACCACCTCTTCCCGACGAGGCCACTCTCACCAGACTGCTGTTGATCGGAAAATTAATGAGAGCAGAGGGAAATGCACGTGTGGCTTTAGCACACAGCAAGCAGCAGAAAGGCTTGCTTTGAGCAAGAGTGGTGTACATGACGTGTACATGTGGTCCTCAGGATGTGGAAGTCAAATGTTTCAGTGCTAGTTTAGAGATGCAGACACTTTTCTGTCTAAGCATTTCTGTGAATGGCAGAATGCTTTTGCAGATGGTACTGGAATGTGTAAAACCATGTTCTGAAACCTGACAAAATGCCTTCTGCCTCTGTTTTTGAGGCTGGATCTGTTCCCTCTGTCCTTTCAGACACCCGATGCTACAGCAGCCTAGGTGGGAGCTGTCTGAAGGCTTCCTCACTGGCCTGTTTGATGGAGAGGCTTATGCGAAGTGCATGGTGAAGTACCTGGGCAGGGGTAATGGTTACCTCTGGTGGTGTGAGTCTCCTCATGTGCAGGGACTGCACTTCTTGAACTCCGAAGTTGTGACCTTGGTCACCTCAAAGTGCTGCTGCCTGCGCTTGGCAGTGCTTCCTCCTGGCGGGCTGCATCGTGGGCTGATAGCAAGTGAGAAATGCTCTTGGTTAAAATGGGCTTTCACTTTCTGTATTTAGGGATTAAAACTGCCCCTACAGAATTTCCTGAAGTTTAGCTGAATGAGGTGCAGTTTTGCTACATGTAGCATATTTTGTGATACAGATTTGTACTTGCATAGGAGTATAAAGATAACTTGTTGCCAATTTTGAAATTTTCTTTTAAGCTGGTGCATCTGACACCTATCTTCTGTCTCATTTTGAATCAGAAACAGATACCCAAGGAAGTGACTGACATTTTTAATGCTCCCAGTGACAGTGAAGATTTTCTGGGGTTCCAGGATGATGCTTCCAGACAGAGGTTGTTGCCAGAGGACAGCTATGCTGATTTTGATTCCTTGGATTCCAAAAAAAAGGTAGGAACGAATTGCTGTGGCCCAGTCACGCTCTTTGGGTGCAGTAGTATTCAGAGTACTCTTGTGTCCAGGCTGCACAAGCCGTAACTCACAGCAAAACCCATAATCTGCAATCTTCGTGTTAAAAATAAATGGAAACAAACTTGCTGTCCTTTTTAGGTTCAATGAGGAAGGAGGTGGTGGTAGAGGGGTGGGGGGAGCCTTGCGTAGGAACCTGAGGGTCTGCTTGTGCTGCCTGCCTGGGGACTGCAGGCACCTTACTTGACATCTCTCTGCCTTGATTTCCTAAATTGTGAGATGGAGATTACAATAATGACCTTTGCTGCAAGGCATTTTAGAGTCCTCTGATGAAAACTGCTGTGGAAGAGCTAGGTACTGCTCATTTACCATGCGTTACTGGGAATCCCAGTGAGACTTGTTCCGAATTTCCAGCTGGTGCTACAGCTTTCCTCACCATTCCTATGTTTCTCCTATAGATATCCCTGATGCGTATTTTACCTTGCATAGACCATTCTTCATGGGTGTAACAGCGTAGCTCCAGATGTGGTATTTTCAGTCACTTTTGCTAACAAAAAGCTTATTTTTCCATCCCCTAACCTTCATTGTGGAATTTCATGAAAACACAGAACGCATTAAAACTCCAGTATTCCTCCAAGAAATGCAATTTAACTTTAAAGCAACTTCCCTATTGTGTTTGTTCCTTTCTCAAGCAGCTGCACTGCAGCTATCAACAAAAGAGTAAAGTAATTTTGCTCAGAGAAAACGCATTCCAATTACCCGTAATAATTTGTAGGAGATGCTTAAGTGTAAAGAAACAGCATATGCAGTAGTTCCCCCTTTCCATTCCCCTGTAAGTTTTCCCACTCATCTATTGTATCTATTTTTCACCAGATATTATCTTAATGTGAGGAAGTGTGTAATTAAAGTCAGGGAAGGGAGGAAATTGAAAGGAAGCATAAAGATAGTTAGCAAGCGCATCTTATGAAGTCGTTTTTGTGTCTTGCGTGGGAGGAAGAAATAGAGGAAAACTGGGGAATCAAACTTAAGTGAGTGTTGGGGACTTTTGAGAGGCAGGTGTGGTGTGAACAAAGGTTATGAACGAGTTTCAGGAGACCAACAGGCACAAGTTGACAGATTGTCTTCTAATTATGGTTAGAAGTATGGAAATATATTTCTGATTTTAAATGCATTGTGTTTAACTGGTATGTAATGTGCATATCATGAAGAGTGCTTTAATAAGATGTTAGTTTATGGGCTGACTTTTTACTTCCTAGTCTGGAGGCAGAAAATTTGGATCTGTCTACTCTAAAATATGTTTGAATGATAAACTGCATCATTAAAAGAGAAGGTTGAGTAGTTGGAAGGTGGAAGGGTGTTAGGCTGTTCAGAGCTCTTTGGTTTTGTGTTGGTATCTGTCACTTCAGTGGTGGTGTAACAGCATGAGAAGGAGCAGACTCCATCTCCAGGAGCCTTGGGTACTGCAGCAAGCCCAGAGGAGAGTGTTGTTTCTATTGCTAAGTGAAAGAAAGGAGGGCTCTTTCTTTACTGTGGTTGTGCTTTGCATTTTCTTCCATTCAGAGCTTGGTTTTTTTTTTCCTCTAGAAGAATACAAAAAGAATACAAAACAACATGATAATTTACATAGAAGAAAACAGAGAGTTTATTTTTATTGGGTGGTAGTGAAGAAGAGGAAGAAGAGGTGAAAAAGAGTTTCCCCAAGAACCAGCGCAGTTAAAACCCTGTACTCAAAATGTGGAAAAAAACCAGTCTTCCTAAGTTAAAATAACTGAATGCTGAAACTCTGAATGTCTCCTGCTTTTTTTGACAGGCTTTGCCTGCAAAGTGCTTTCACAGTGTGTGCCATCTCATTGGCACCTGCTTGAACCTCAGAACCTGTTTATGGGGACTGTGTGACTATGCTGTCTCTGACTGTCTCACAGCTACTGGCTGGTGTTTTCACAGGGGATTCAGTTTCAGTCCAGATACCTCACTGAGGAGCTGCGGAAGATTTTCACTGAAGACACTGACTCTGAAACGGAAGTGTTTGACGGCTTCGCTTCAAGCGAGGTGGATGCGAACAAGAAAGGAGTTCTGGTAAAGGCTGTCACCTAGGCATGAATGTATATGTTGACTTCTTTTTGCTTGCCTCTTCTGTGTAAACTTCATGTTCTAGTAGGAGTGTTTCTCATACACTGTGATGTTCTTTCTTCATACTGAAGAAAAATACATATTATCTTAAATGAGAAGGAAAGTTAATGTGACATCACATACTGGCAATGAGAACTTCTTCCCCTGCTTGTAGAGTTGATTGTGCTGGGCAAGATTGTTCCTCCAAAAACAGTTGTGTCTATATCTCAGATAATATTAATTTGTAGGTTTTGTGTTGGTCTCTGCACAGGAAGAAGTTGTGTACTGTGCACTTTTAAAAATGTGTTGATTTAGGTGAACTTATGACAACACTTTCAAGTGATGAGACTGCTTCCTAGAATTAATGGTTTTTAAATTACCTTTCTCATGTCACAGCCAGTAATGTAACATGGGGTTCTTTCTGCCTCTAGGCAATGGAGTCGGACTTGAACGATGAAGAACGCAATAATTTATTGGGTAGTGAGGAAGAAGAGGAGGAAGAGGTGAAGAAGAAAGTTTCCCCCAAGAGAAGAAGCTTTGGCCTTCGTGTTGCCTTGCAGTTTCCCACCAGAAAGTCGTCTGAGAAAAAAGTGCCTGAACAGGCTTTTTCTGACTTACCTCTAAAGGACAGTGAAGGGATCACACCTCTTTCAAAAGAAATAAGCTGCAAGCGGAGGGACAAACTAGAGGGCTCTGCTTCAGAGTCTGAAGAAGACATGAAAGAATTGCAGGAGGAAGGCTCCAGTGCTCTGCTTAAGAGAGCCATGAACATTAAAGAAAATAAAGCCATGGTAAGACTTACGAGCAGTACCTTGTTCTCTGACATTTACATCTGAGTACTTAGCTTCAGCACACCTGAATCTTGGGGTTCCTGCTGGTGCTGTGCTGGGACTTGGGGAAAACCTCATGGTGGTTTGTGTTTGAATTTTTCTACCTGGGAAAACCCTAGAGGACCATCAGCACTCGGATATTTATCCCTAAAATAGCCCCAGGTAGGACTAGTCTGCTCAAGTTTAAAACCAGAGCAGCATTTGCTATGTGGATGTGAACAAAGTTACACATGGCCAAATTGCAGTCTCAGAATATTCAGAACATGTCAGAAAACCAGCTGGTCCCAGGTGGTTTGTGGTGTCCTTTGCACAACAGAGTTTTTACTTTTCATTTATGTCTGACAGATCTACTGCAGTTACTGATTGGAAAGCCAGCTAAAAACTGCTAAGGATGATAAATGGAATTTTTCAGTTGTGTGGGATGTGATGTTTAATTATGCTTCGCTATATAACTACTGAAAGTGTGTGTATATGTGTGTGTAGGTGTGGAAAAAAGAGATGCTGATAATTTCCTAATGCTTTTTCCTCTGTCCAAAATGCCACCACCTCTATTTAATTATCACACTGCCATACAAATCCAAGCTGATGTTGGGTCCTCAGTGGCTCCTTCAGTTTTACTGTATTCAGGAAAAGTTGCAGCTTCCAAGCAGTCCTGGGGCTCAAGTACCCCTCTTGGGTGTGTGAGCCTGCAGCTCCCACATCAAAACTTGCTTTAGTTTTGTCTCTGTGTTTCTGATCTGTCTTGTGTCCTTGCTCCTGTTGTATTGGTCTTGCACTCTTCCACCCATCACCTCCAGTGGGACTGAGTTGTCTTACAACTTTGCAAATGAGCGTGCACCCACATTGCTGTATGCATCTGCACAGAGCAACTGGTCTGTAGCATTACTGGCTGCGGTTTGCAGCATTTCTGAAAGCAGTGCTAGCTGTCATGATTGAAAAAGAGATGTTACTAGGCATTGCTGCTGAGAACCACTGAAAAATGATGAGTGAAGTGTCACTGCTGAAGGGGATGTTCTGCGTACCTTGGCAAAAAACACAGGTGTATTAGTGTATTCAGTAAAATAACCCACAGGGAACACCTTACAGTCTTTGGCCCAAGGGCACCCTGTCTTCCTTTTCTCCCTCTGTCATATGAATTTCTCATTATCAGTTATAGGTATCATAACCATGTTGTAGTGCACTTCTTTGGTGCTGTTTTGACAAGATTGGATGCAATTCTAGCCAGTTCTAATTCCCAGTAAGAATTAGTGGGAGCTGTGAAGTTAGTACTGCCTGCAGAGTTGTGCTCATTCAGGAGTAAACAAATCCCTTTTGTGAGCCCCACTTAAATAAAGTGCCTCAGAAAACTTATGCATTAAAACTTCATGTGTTTAAGTATAATTGAGAGTGCGTGTGAAGAGTGGATGATAGGTGTTGCTTATTTGCAAATTTGCAGTGAGTTTTCAATGTGGCATCCCTGTTGATTTCAGCTTGCCCAGTTGCTGGCAGAACTGAATTCCATCCCCGACCTGTTCCCAGTGAAAACGCCCACCTCGACCCCTTCGGTAAGTCTCCGGTACTGCCTAGAGGTGACTTGATTTTGTAAGATTTAGGATTAATGTGTTTCCTGATGAAACACTTTCACCAAGTTTGTTCTTGTTTTCTTTGGTTTTAGTCACTTTATTTGTATAGATTTGCTGTTGGTCAGGATTTTGAGTACCAGAGGTTATGTGAGGAATTTTGTAAGATAATTTATAAAGAAATACAGACACCAAGGTGAGAGGGTTCTTTATCATTTTTGCCCAGTAATACTGTTCAAATGCTAGACAAATGTCAGTGTATGTTGGAAAAAGGAAGAGTAGTTGCTTGCCTTCAGGGTTTACATTCTATGAATTCCCTCTTGCAGGCTTTTGTTTTAAAATCTACACTTCCCAATAGAGCTTCGCTGATGAAATTCAACCACTTTAACATGAATCCAGAATGATACTGTATTTATTTCAACTGACTTTTCTTGGCTAGCAGCAGACAACTGTCAACCACTCTAGTTTTTCTATAGAGTAATGTTTTTCCACATATATTATAAACTGAAGAGATTTGAAGAAAAAGATTGAAGGGCCATGTCTTTGGGAAACCTGTGTAGAAATGCTGCTATGGTACTTGTCAGGTGAAAAAATGAAGCCAAATTAAATGGTCTTGCTAGCTCTAGTTAAATGCTATAGAAATATAAACATCCTTTGAATATATACACAAGCCTGCTACTTTTGTTTAGTATCTTTACCAGAGAAGGGAGAGGGCGTCAGGAGTGTTCTAGTTATCTCTGATTGGTTTTGACTTCTAGCCTGTCTCCTTGTGATGTGCCTTTTGCTTCTCTCAAAGGAAATAACTAAAGAGTACAGTGGTAAGCAGACTTGCTTCCTAGATCTTGTCTATCCTGTCAGATTTAGTAGGTGCCTTTATGGTAGGTGTCTTTGCAGCGCTTCTGTGGCGTGAATTCAGTCATGCAGTAATTGACAGATGTGACAATATGAAAAAGGTATCTTGTGCCTCCTAGTAATTTCCAGATCTAGGAATCTGAAAGTAGAAGAAACTTACTAATGCTCTTTCAATTTAAAAAATAGAAGCAAATAAACTAGAATTCAGATTATTTCTTGAAGATATGTTAAATTTGTAGGAACCCTTACAACCTTTAGCTGCTAAAGAACAGTGAGAACTAGCTTCTACCTTAGTATGCCATACAAAAAATCGTGGTATAGCTCTGTGATGTTAATTGGAATAGAATTTGACTGTGAAAGTGGGGTGCTTTAAAAGGATGAAAAAGGTGTAGCATATAGGGAGAACACTTAAGAATGCTAAAAATTGGTGATGTAGGCTTAACAAATAAGGAAGAACAGATTAATTCATGATAGTTCAAGTGTGGTACAGACATTTTAAGATAATTTTTGGTGTTTAGCACTACAAACATAAATTTAAGGACAGTTATGGCAATCATTTTCTCTTTCCAGAAACAGAAGAAAATGCCAAGGAGGACATTTTCTGAAGGCCAGATAGCACGTCGCATGAATCCAACCAGAAATGCTCGTCCACCAGAGAAATTTGCCTTGGAAAAATTCACAGTGTCAGCTGTTAAATTTGCAGAACATTTCCGTAGCTGTAGACAACAAAACCTCTTGAAGAAGAGACTCAGTGAGGTACTTGTCAGACTTTAATATCTCCAGTATTCAGGGATTAGGAAACATTCATTTAAATTGCTGACCAACACTTAGAGTAGACATCACATCCTACAGAAGGTCAGTGAGAATCTTTGGTTTGGGATTAGCTACAGCAGAAATTGTCTTCAGGCCTTCCTGCCTCATCTTTCACCTGTGAACTGGGCTTTATGTGTGACCTGTGTTGTCCAAAACATAACAAGGCAGTTTACTTCTGGTCTATTATTTATTATCTAAAAATTATTAGAGCCCACAATGTAGAAAGCCTTTGAGTGACCAGGCAGTGGGTCTGGTGGAGGTGACAAAGCAGATCTCTGTCTTCAGGCTTGGGAAAAGTTAGCAAAAATCTCGTTCTGGAAATAGCAGAGGAAAGATGTAGAGGAGTTATACAGCTGAACTGAGAATGAATAAAGGGAAGTTGCACCATCAAACTGCTGATGTACTGGCTAGCCATTCAAAAGTTGAAGGTTTTATTCTTCCCCATATTTTTTAAATCTCCTGTTTTCTCTCCCTTGGCTTATGGTGGTTATTTGTGTTATATTTACTTTATAGCCTTTATGAGGAAGAGAGACTCTAAAGTTCGTACCTGTACGTGGTAGAGGCTGGATCCCGGTACTGCTTATAGAGATAAGTGCTGGGCATAGTTGAAGCATTATAGAGAGAACTTGGCTTTTAGACAAGGTGAAACAGCACTGAATGAGAACCTGGGCTGGTAAGTGACTGTTTTATAGAGAACAGCTGATCTAAGGTGAAGGACAAATTAGGTGTTAAGAGTGGGGTAGGCAGAAGGCTAAGGATCAGCTGAGACTTGTACATGAGATTTGAAATCTCCTGAGAGGCATTAGGACAATCCATGGATTGCAGTCAAAGTGATTGATATTTCAACAGGAAAAAAAAAAAAGAGCACTTAATAGTGTGAGTGGAGGCCTCTCTTCCAAATAACAAACTGGATAGTAACAAAGGGCTGAGTATGGCAGGACTAACCTAACTTCACTAAAGGGTAGAGATTGTCACTGGAGGAAGCAATTATAGAGCATGCTAGGAGGTTAAAGGAGCAAAGCAAGGGAAGGCAGATGGTTATGGTTCCTTATTTTGAGAGGGAAGAAATGGAGTATGAAGAGTTGCTGTGGAGGTGTTCAGGGACTGCAAAGAAAAGAAGGTAACAGACAAACCTATTAGGAATTTGTGGAAATAAAAGTAGTAATGATGGGAAGAATGAACGTACAAAGAGAATAAATGGAGTAGAGAAAAGATGAGGGAGGAGAGAGAGAGAAAGAGGGAGGGATGATTTGGAAACACTATCCCCTGTTCTTCCAGTGGTCCATGAGCCTGTAGTCTGTCCCCTGTAGACTGCATACACATAAATGGAAAAATTTGTCACTGAGCGTGGTGACAGAGTCTTCATGACACCAGACAAAAGGTGTTGAGATGAGGTTTTTTAGCAGGGGAATTGTGGAGTGCACAAAAGGAGGAGAACATCTATATATTCATCTCACCGCCCAGTAGAAGATATTACTGAAGAGGACTTGGACAACATTGCAATCACTGTTAAAGACAAAATCTACGACAAAGTTCTGGTAGGTGGCTGCTGTTTTCTTCAGTGTGTCTGTTTGCTGGAAATGAAAAGTCACCTAACAGTTTGTCTGGTGTTTGCTAAAATGTACGCTCCCCTGAGGTTCTGGGGAGTGCAGCTTTGCATTTTTATATTACACAATCACAACTTGGAAGCTTTGCCAGGCTTCCGTGGGCTTGCCCATGCTGGTTGATATACCCTACCAACTTTTTGCTTCTGCAAAGAAGTGCTTTCTTGCCATAGAACAATTAAGTGAAATTTGATGTAGCTATGACTCACCACTGATAAGAGTTGACATCCCTTTTATCTCTCATTTTCACTTAATATAAATGTGGTGGTGGCGATGATGGTTGTACCATTAAATAAAAGTGATCACTGCTGCTCCTTGTACCCTGTGGAAATGACATTTCTGTATGGGTTCAGTAGTTTCCAAAGCTCTTGATGCAGCTCCTCTTTTTGCTCAGAACTGCAACATGAAGTTCAGGTAGTTTCAGAACTTACGGTTCTTACAAAGACTTTAATTGCACAAGTTTGTGCTTTGCTATCAGCAGATATATTAGGAAAGTTCAGCAGCATTTCAGATGTCCTTCATACATACATGTTTCTCCTCCGTTCCAACTTCAGGGAAGTACTTGCCACCAGTGTCGACAAAAGACAATTGATACAAAGACAATCTGTCGCAACCAGGGCTGTGGGGGAGTAAGGGGGCAGTTTTGTGGACCATGTCTTCGAAATCGATATGGGGAAGATGTGAAATCAGCACTGCTTGATCCAGTAAGTATCATTTCTTGGGCTTGGAAAGAAAGCGTAATGAATTCGGCTTGGTTGGTAAGGTGTGATGAGTATATGCTCATGATAACGTGAAGTCCAAAGGTTTTTGCTATGAGAAACCCTGTAGTACTGTTATGACTGACACTGATCTTGTTGGAACTCAAGGGGAAGGTACTAGACCTGGGTTACAATCCAGCTATCTTCATGCTTTTAAGCTGGGTAATTCAGTCTCAGGAATGGGGCTATGCCAGCAGACAGAGCCAAAGAAACTTGTCACAGTGCGTACCTGTCTTTTTTTAGGGAGTTCCCTACAGTCAACCTAACATAGGATGAATTGTCATTAGGCATTACAGATGCTTTTAGTCTATTTTAAGTTCATACTAAAAAAAATGAGAGAGCCCAAGTCTTCAGAGAAAGAAATGTGCAAGCAAATAGGGTGGTACTTAATAATTTCTTTAATCCTGCAGAATTTGGAAAGTGTTAACAAGGTTGGTTGGTTGATTCAGGCTTTTAAAACCTTGCCCTGAGCAATCATGCAGTAAGGAAGCCATACTCTTGTCTATCTGTGCAGCAGGAAGGTGAATATAACCTCACTTATGGCTTGCCTTTAACTCTCCTCCTGCGTTTACCCCCTTGCAGGCCTGGATCTGTCCTCCTTGTCGCGGGGTGTGCAACTGCAGCTACTGCCGCCGGCGGGACGGGCGCTGTGCCACGGGCATGCTCATCCACTTGGCCAAATTCTATGGCTATGACAACGTTAAGGAGTACCTGGAAAGGTGAGGGCTGTGCCCCACGGTTGTTCCTTTTTAAATTGTTGCAGCCCCTTAAATAATACTTCACTTCTGTGGCCTGGGGCAGATCCTGGATCTATGCAAAAGAAGTCTCTTTGACTTCAGATTTCTCTTAGGCTGAAATCTGCTTCACTGAAGTGACTCATATTGTCTGTGTAAACAAATTATTTGCTTAAGAAATTGAAATGTTTTTCCTGTTTTGAAATCGGTATTGATTGCTTCAAGCATATAAAAGTGCTGTTTTAGAAGCTGTCATCTTCAGCAATGGAAATTGTTTACGGGGAACTTGAGTTTCCTAAAAAGCTCTAACACTGTTTTCTCACATCTAGTTTACAGAAACAACTAGCGGATGACAACTGAGAACACTGAACTCAAGATGTGCCTGCAACTGGTTAACATGTTGACAAATTGTTACTTCTAAAGGTTAATAATGTGTTTTATATAAGATAGAATTGTAGAGTATAGTATATGCATTTCTCTGTTGGGAATTTTTTGATTGATGTGGTCTTAGGCAAAAGATCTCTCAGGAAAATGTTTTGGTAGAGAAATCTACATGCACAGACCTATACGTTAAGTGAAATGCACTCTTGAACCTTGAGTGCTTAATTTTTGATAGAGCTACACAACCACATGATGGAGAACTTGGTGAATTAGAGCAATATTTTTATTTATATAATTGTGCAAGTTTGCAGAAAAGGCATTTAACAACTACCGGTAAAGCATACCCTGTTTTTAACGGAATAAAAAAACCTCCCTGTGTTCAGACTTTAGCATAAAGATTCAGTTTTCCAGCCCTTGCTTTCTGAAACTATTTCTGAACCTACTTCATGGAACTTGTCCCTGCAAAGAAGGGAAGGGTATTTTCATCTGAAAGCCGTTATATTCCAGCCAAAGCTGATGATGCCTAGCAGTGGGAGGATTATTTTTTTTATTATTCCAAAGTGCAATTAATCACTAAAACATGAAAGTGGAAGAGTGTTTTGTATTTAAAAAAAAAAAATTAAACATCATCCCAATAAAGAAAAATAATTGCTTACCAACGGTTTTTGTATGATGCACTTGCTCCCTGACCCAGTGACTTTACAGCAATGATAACTGGTTAACTGGTTTAAATTGCAAAGTTCAGGATTTTTTTTTTTTACATATGGTTCATACTTAGGTATTTTTTCATATGCACAACTAAGCTTTCAAACAACTTTGTTTAAATGCAACATGTTTGTATTGCAGTATCATTATGTTAAAACTCTTGTAAGATGTTTCATTTTACATAGAGAGAATAAAGAATTATTAAGAGGAGCATTTTGTGAGATGGATGCTGATCTTTCCCATGTACTTTTCTATAGCTGGTGTAATGAAGGAATACTTGCAGATCAATAATGATTATGTGGAGAAACACATGAATGCAACAGTTACAGATGGGGAAATAACAGCATAGAGCATGTAAATGTTTCACTAAGGAATGTGAATATTTTTAGGCAAATCTGCTGCTCCACCTGACTGTAAAAAAATATTTCTCTCCTTTTGCTTTAAGTACAAGGCAGACTGAGAAAGCAGCATGTACTGTAGAAAGCTTAGTCTTAAACTGGCAAGAGTAAGGCTAATCCTGCCAGAACCCATTAAGCTGGCTTCTCTGTGTTTTTCAGATTGAAAGTCCTCTGCTTTTGGTTTATAAACTGGACATTCATAAACATTCTTAGTTTTCCTTTGGTCCACTGGAATAGCTCTTATAAAAATGACTGGCATTGCTGGAGTAAATTCCTTGAGTTGGGCTTCAGCTATGGTCCCCAGCTGGATGTCCCACCTGGCACCTGTAATAAATGTAGGAACATGGTCTTCTACATCATGTTCTGTAGTGCAAGACCAGAATAATTTCGGTTTAAACAGTTGCTTGTTGCTAAATATTTGAAGCTACATTTAAAAATACAGATTTAGTGTAGATGGTTGTTGTGCATCATCTCTTTGTAGGGATGTGGAGATGAGTATGTAGCATCCGCCTGGAGAGGCCTTCTGTTTTCACCAGCATGTCCTTTTATTGAAAGCAGGGCCTGGGAACTACTTACAATTCAGACTCTGAGTGTGCCTGTCAAAGTCAAGTGCTCAGGTTTTCTCCTAATTCTCCACTAGTTTATTGTCAAGTATTCTAAAAGGTGGAGAACTACACAAGTATTTAGCATATATTTGTATAGTGAATTATCAAACAGGTACTTCACTGTAGTGAAGACAGATGAGTTCTGTGCTGCTGAAAGGCCATGCACTTCCTGAAGGCTGCTAGATTTGTTTGTTGTTCTAACAAACCACCATATAAAATGTTGCAGATACAAACAGTAAAGTTTATATTTGCAAATACCAACACAAACACAGAAACACAGCAACTACAGCTCACAAGGTTCCTTTGGAGGAACGAACAATATTATATTATTGAGTGACAGATGTTTTAAAAAAAAAATCCTCTGAAAAATTCAGGGTACCTTTTAAAAAAGCAGCAAATAACATTTGTGTCATTGTTCTAGTCCCTTACCCAGACTTTTCCCTTGGAGCTTACCTGCTGTAGGAGCAACTCCTTTCCAAAAAGAGTTGCTTTCCTTTTATTATATTCAGGTCTAGAGAAGACTAATGATGATGTTTCATTAATTCCCTGTTGAAGTCATTCACCTTTTCTCTAATTAGCTCTAACTTAGTTGACAGCCTAAGTTAAAACTAAAATCTCATTTTGACCATGCACTATAGTTGTCATTCCTAAACTAGATGCTTCAGTCTCAGGAAAAAAATACAATCCCAAGAGAGCAAGATACAATGCTTATCCTCTGAAAGGTGCTAAAAGAGGAGTTGCAGCTCAACAGATGGAATAGTCTTCAAACTTCTAAACTTTGATTAGATCAGAGCTGCTGCTTTACTACAATGCAGACCTTTTTCAGACTCAGTTATTTAAATGTGTGAAGTATAGTATATTAGGCCACCAAGTTGGTATAAAATTTAAAGTCACAGTGGACCAACACTAACAATCCCCCACCATTTCTAAACTTCCTCGGTGCTGTTCGTAGCACCACAACACTTTAGTCCAACTCCTGATAGAACTTCTCTGCCTAATGAAGGAACCTAGAGTCCCTGAACTAGGTTACTGGGATCAAGCAATTTAAGTTTATTTCTTCCCTTCCATGAAAAACCCACAGATAAAGGCTCCTTCCCTTGGTGGCTGGTCATAATCTTCTTTGGTCTTGTTGGTAACATCTACAGTCAAGCACACCTTGTCCAAAGGCCAGTTGTTCTTCCGTGCTCTGCATTACAGCTTTCAAAAATAATACTTTCAATAATTCAGAGAGTAATTTTAGTGTCAGAACTGTTAACATGCCTCTTTTGGGCCTATTGTGCACAAGCCTGAGACCGATTGAGATCTGGTTTTGCTTTGTTTTGTTTTTTTTTCTCCTTTGACTATTAGTCAAAGTAAGGCAAAAAAAGCTGCACAAATGCAGTTGTTTTGGAAATAAAACATTCTTCGCAGCACAGAACCAACTCCCTCCCCAGTGCTGCTGTCTACACTCAGAGGCACTGCTTCCCTCCAGCCCAGTGCCCATTCAGAAGCAGCCCATGCTAACATCTATTCCAGCCTGAATGGTCCTTGCATCTCCCCAGCCCTTGACAGGAACAAGTGCCCAGAAGAGAAAGCGTGGAGAGAGGCAATAGAAGGAGTGAAGAAATACAGTGGGGTTTATGCCTATGGTTAAAAAGGACCACCATTTGAGGACCTCAACATGAGCAACAGAGAGAAGAGGAGCTGCTTATTTACAGTGTGCTTAACTCTCCAGAGAGCATCACAAAGATAACTAACACTGAAGGTGAAAAAATAAATGTTTGGCAGTGAAATTATATGCCTGATTCTTTCCAACCATTGCTGCTTACCTGTCAGAAAGGACTGGGGATTGAGCAGGCCAGAAACCCAAACCACTGCTGGCAGCACAGGATCCTGTGTCCAGATCTCGAGTTCTCCATATCACATGAGAAGATTGGTAACCCTGAAAGAAAAGCAGCAATGGCTTCTGCCTTAACGTATTTGTACTACCTTTTTAGACAAAATAAATTGCAGACTTCAAGTGGAGTCCTCTTGTCCACAGAGAAGGTACATAGCTGAAATAACCAGAAAGTATATGCTTATGTAAGCATAATGTTATGGTTTTAGTGGAATTTGTTCTTTCCTTGATATAGGTATGTCCAAAATCAATTGTAGAAGGTGATCAGTATGAGACAGATTGCTGGCAACAGAGAATGTGAGTATGCTCAGTCCTGTAAAACTTCTTGTCTCTGGGAGAAACCTGAATATCACCATTACACGTATTAACACACTTCAGAAATTGCCAAAAATTGGTAACAACAGTTGATGACTTCTTAAAGGCAAATTGTCTGATACCATCTTCAGTGGTGCATTTAAACTTCCGATAGGCCAAAGTACAGATTAGGAGCAGAAGAGAGTCTTATGCGCTCTGAGTAACAGCATACTGCAGCACACGTTGCCATGAGATATCAGAGGAACTTCCAAAAAACACTGCCTATTTTTCTTCCCATATCTAACTGCCTGCAAGGTAGGAAAAAAACAGATCCTGCAAGATGCTGAACACCCCTAGCACTTGTCACAAGGAAGGCGACAAAGCCTTGCTTTAGCAAAGCACGTAGCATTTCTGCAAAACTCACTTCAAATTTAAACTGACTTGCATTAAAGACAGATTTTTGGACCAAAAAAAAAAAATGAAACAAAGGTGCTGGATATAGATCACTGGAATAGCTCTGTGCATAGTAGCTACTGCCAGTTACTGTAGCGTACTTACCAGCGGGCAAGGCTGTAGGTGGATGGATATGCTAGTTTAGTCCATGTGTCTGGCACAGCATGGTAGAAGAGTGTGGATTGCAGCACTTCCTTGTGAGGAGAAAACATCAACTCCCCCTTTGTTTGGAGGACAATAAAAAGCATACTGGCATCATAAAGAATAGCTATTCTTTTCATTTCCAAAAGAAAAAGCAATGAAAAGCCCCAAATTACATAGGAGAGCAACAATAGTGTTAATATTGCCTTCAGCCTGAGGTTCAGCTGTTTAAGAGAGCTATGGATTGCAGAAAAGAGGAGGTTCATCCTCTCACACTCCTGAAGGCACACATGGGCACAGTGGCCGCAGGCAGTACTCTTCTGCATGATTTCTGCCATATTAAACTCCTTGGGAAGCATTTCCAGAATATGCAAGACATTCTTGACCTTTCCATGCTAATACAAACAGAGCCATTAGAAATCACAGTAATCAAGTTTTTTTTTTTTACTCCTGCTTTCAAGCCTGATTTCTTCTCCAGGAGAGCACAAACATCCAATTTTCTTAGACAAAAACCAGAGATGCTCCCCAACCTTTGCTGTCTCTTTGGCAACAGTATCAAGAGAAATGACTGCAAACCAGTTAACACTTTGCAGCTTGTATTTAGCTTTACATTTTCAAGTAACACTGACCCGCAAAGCCCACCAACGCATTGTGAGATTGGCATGACTGCTTTTACAAGGATATACACTGAGTTTGTCTTGTTTTTCAGTCAAGCATGATTAGTAGTTTGTATTTCTATAGTACCTAATAGCTTCTATCTTCCCCTCCACTGCTCACAGTCCTTACTGTCTTGGGCGTTAGGCGAAATACAGTGCAGACACATGCACACAGACATCTCACCCCCCAAAAGAGCGTCTCTCCCTCCCCCCAGGCCTGCTCTGGAGCTAACACAGAACACAGATTAAAACCAATTCATAACAGCACTCATGAGCAGGAACTGAAACCACAAC